CTTTTTTTTCCCCCCCCCCCCCCCCCCCCCCCCTCCTCTAGCCGAAGTGTCACTCCCAAATATATCATATGTATCGAACAGCTATCGTGTTCTGACTCGAAGAGCCCAGCCAACCTCGACGAACAAAAAAACAAAAATTACAAATCTGTATACAGTCAGTCTTATCGGTTCGGTCTTACCTGAAGCTTAGCGAAGGCCGTCACCGACCCCGTAGCGGTTATCGCGCCGATCACCGCTGCTAGGTAGATCGTCAGCTTAGCGCCCAGCGCCTGCCAGGAAAACAAAAAAAAAACACGCACACACACATACGCATACAGCAGCCGCGAGCAGAAGGAGGAGGTGGGGTGGTGAACAGGCGAGCGGAGATCTCAACTTCTTGATGTCTACAAGAGTGCCGAACTGATGTACGGAGATCTCAACTGCTTGATATCTACAAGAGTGCCGAACTAATGTACGGAGATCTCAACTGCTACATACCTACAAGAGTGCCGAACTGATGTACCTACAACCCAAACAACGAGCACGGGGTGTACGCATCGGTCGCGACCCATGTCCGCCCTCGACAAAGTATAACGCACCGCCACTATACATAGTTGAGATTTAACGCACCGTAACCGTAATCTATCTGCTTGGATGAACCAAGGGACGAGAAAGCACCCACACCAGTGGGCACGCACGCAGGCAGCGCAGGGACACAAACCTCCCTTTCCGAAGACCCAGAGCCCAGAGCCTACCATGAGCGATATTTCGATATTTCGATATTTCGATATTTCCGTCTCTCTCTCTCTCTCTCTCTCTCTCTCTCTCTCTCTCTCTCTCTCTCTCTCTCTCTCTCTCTCTCTCTGTCTCTGTCTCTGTCTCTGTCTCTCTCCCTCTCGTTGTCTCTCCCTCTCGTTGTCTCTGTCTGTCTGTCTGTCTGTCTGTCTGTCTGTCTGTCTGTCTGTCTCTCTGAATATATTCATTATCACCTCCGGTGGGTGTCCGACCAACTCCGAGATGGCGGTAGCCGTGGCGGCAGCCCCGACAAGGCTGTGGAAAGCCGCCACCGTCTGGGGTAGCTCCGTAGGTCCAACCTATCACGCAAAGAGGGAGGAAAAATAAAAGACGGGCCAAAGGAGGGTAAGTACAGGCAGCCGTCGGCCACAGACACCACGAAGAGACGAGAGTCAAACGGTAAGGCAAGGGGGTGGCCGGGTCAACGGTAGGGGTCTCACAAAATGGAGGAGGAACGGGCGGGGTGTTGTTGTGTATTAAAAAATTGCCATCGTCGCAAATAAACATGAGAAAAAGAGCCCCCTCGCCCAAAACACAAAGCAAGTTTGTTTCTCAAAGGGGTGGAGCGGGCGGGCCCGCCACGTACAACCAACTTTACACATGCATGGTAAAATTTAGGAACTCCTTTACATGCATGCATGCTCCGGAGGCCGGCCGGAGGCCACGAAAAAAACGCACCTTCCCCGCGACGGCGTAGCCGGCCACGCCTCCCACCCCCATGAGCGCCGCCATCTGCGCGAACACCTCCGGCGGGACCCCGGCGTGGTACATGAGCCCGACCGTCGCCGCCAGGCCGAGGGTAACCCCGCCGACCCCGAGAACGTTGCCGAACCTGGCCGTGCTCTGGGAGGAGAGCCCGCCGATGCTCTGCGAGAGACGCGAGCGAGCGAGTGTGTAACCGTGCGGTGCGTGGGCGTAAGCGATGGCGGCAGAGAGACGGCTGTCACCAAAAAAGAGCAGTCTACAGAGCAGGACGCCCTTTTTTCGCGTTCACAGCAGTAATTGTCTCTCTGGTTTTAGTTGCACTGGGAGTGACGTTTTGTTAGTTGGGCGGTTAACCCGGTCGATGCCAACAACACGACGGAGTGTAGCATGTACAAGCAGAAAAAAAAAAAATCGGTAGCCCACGCAACCCAGCACCTATGCTCTGATCGGCGGAGGAAACACCACCTCTATTAAAACAGGACAACCCCCCCCCCCTCCCTACAAAACAAGAGCGAGAGCAGGACTCAAAACAAACAAGTGCTGGCTCGGCGACCCCAACGCCCACCCACCCCCCCATGGAGCACACCGCACGTTCCCTAACCTGCATGCACATGACCGCCGACGCAAGCCCGGCGAAGTTGGACAGCTCCGAGTAGCCCATCGTCTCCCCGGCCGCGAGAGCGCCCAGCCCCACGGCGACGGGCAGCCCGATGGTGATCTGCACGCAGGCAAGGGGCAGGCAAGGGTAGTCGAAAACGGCGGGGGGGGGCAGCGGAGGAAGAGCAAGCAAGGACAGCACATGTAGCAGCAGCAAATGTTATTTAGCAGCGGCATTGGCCAACAGCGGGAATGCTGCCGTAGCATCAGGAACAACGAGAACCAGAGCAGCGCGGAGAAGGAACGGACCGCTGGCGGGAGCTTGAGCACGGACGCGAGAGACAAGCTGAGGCATTTTCTCTCTCCTCCATCCACACGTTGCTACGGGTAAATTCCTGCCCCGTGACCCCCCGGGGCGTTTGGACCAGCTACAAGTAGTATCAATTTCCACAAAGACTCAGACGAGACACCTTCGAAACCACCGAAACATATACACCTGGCGGTGCCCGTACCGCAACAATATCATACCGCAACATGCCGTACCGAAATAATACCGTACCGCGATGCTGTACCGCAATTACCGAACTTCGTTGTTCTCCTCGGGGTCCCCTGGTACCCGTAGCGCAAAAATACCGCCCCCCCCGCGATATACCGCCGTACCGCAACATGCCGTACCGAAATAATACCGTACCGCGATACCGCAAATTACCGTACCTCGTTGTTCTCCTCCGGGTCCCCGGGGCGCTTGAAAAGGTCGAGCATCTTCTTGGTCACGCGGAAACCGCCAACGATGTTGACCGAGGACACCAGCAGGGCCGCAGCACCGAGGGCCTGTCCCGCGTTCTCCGGAAAGAGCCCCCCCCCGAGAAGGACCATCCCTCCAACGGCCGTCCTGGCGGCAAAAAAGGAAGGCAAGAGCGTGCGTGCATGCATGTAGGATGGGTTAACCCTAACCCGAAGTAGGACGAACCGCTACTATTGTGCGTCTTTTGTCAAGGTCAAAAAGTGCCCAAAACAAACATTATTCCCTTGATTGACACTTGGGGTATTGTTTTATTGGGGAGGGGGCTCGAGGCTCTACGTAGATACGTCCCCAAAGGCCTCATGTATGTACCGGGTAAATGTAAACAATTCGCCGAAACTTTGCGACGAGTCCCCCACCATCGACAAACGTACTGGGCGCCGTGAATTGCAGCGAGCGTTCCATCTGCCTACCATCCCTTGCGAGAAAAAAAAACGCAGTAAGAGCTATGTACAATGTATCCTGCGTGGCGCACCCTCATCCACGCATTTCGAGGACCGAGTTCCTTATAGGGTGGTACATGTACGCTGCACTTCTGTGGCATTCTCGGTTCTCTCGTTCGGTTCTCGTTTCGCTTCACAGAAGGAAGGGCAGAAACATCACAAGGCAACAGCTATTTTTGGCAATGAAATCTGGCTTGTCGGTGCCACTCCCTCCCTAACCTTACAGTACCGAAGGAGAGAAATCATCACTTTCTGCTGCTTGGGCCTTCAGTGGAAACAAAACGCAAGTCGCGTAACACTGCGGTGAACCAAGTTCACTGCAACTTAATCCTGGACTCCTTTTATCTGGGGATAAAAAGAAAGGATATTTTGATTCGTTTTCGTAAGAACAAAAATACAGGGAGAGGTTCGCTCACATTCCCGAGATGGCGTTGGTCACCGACATGAGGGGCGAGTGGAGGGCAGGGGCTACGCCGTACACCAGCTGGTAGCCTCCCAGGCAGGCCTGCAATCGTTGTCATCCATGCGCAAGTCCCACACAAGTGGAGGGGGACAGAAGTGAGAACAACATTTCAAGACTGAGCTATCTATCGTTCTGGGCAATTACAGAAAACCCCGAGCGCGCGGGGGGGGGTGTATTCATGTAAACGCATGCAGTAGTCGATAAACCGTGATCTCGCGGTGGGGAGGGGGGCGGATCTGTAGTTGGGGGGGGCCCGACGCGGAGAACCGGAAAGGGGGGCGGGGAGGCCCCGTATATGCAGCAAAGCTGGGGAGTACGCCTCCCAGCCATGCTAGAGAAGGTTCAGGAGCTGCCTGGGACGGAACAGAACCGGCAAAACGCCAAGGCCCCTCGATTGTGCTACACAGCCTAACAACGTTCAAGCAGAGGCAGCGCCGGCCGCGCTTGAGGAACTACGACCCCTTCGCTGAAACTTTCGTGCAACAACAACAACAAAAACAACGACCACGCAGGAAATACGAAACAGGGGTCACGCTGGACTGCTTACACGTGCAACGTTCTGCTGGAACAACGACATGCTCTTCGAAAAACATTCTTACACGACCTCTAAAACAACGCCGCGTTACACTTCAACCACTTGCGACCATGTAAGACTTGCTCTCCTGCCTCCTTGACACACCGCTGTGCAAACTCCGTGCTACATACATGCATAGACTGCTCTCTCACCAAAAAATAAAGCTTTCAATATGTATTGGCATGACGCGCTCTCTTATGTACCCTGCAGTGTATCATCCGCGAGAGAACCAAAACCACATCTGGCACTACTGGCATGACGCGCTCTCTTATGTACCCTGCAGTGTATCATCCGCGAGAGAACCAAACCACATACGGCAAACTCCTCTCACCAGCGTGAGGATAGTGAGCATCTCCGTGAAGTCGTGGCTGCCCTGGCTCGACACCCCCAGCGCAACGAACGCCAGGGCTCCGAGCGCGGCCTTAGCGCCGTCCACCAGCGCCGCCGCCTGAGGGTCCACCGGCTCGGCCTCCGCCGCCGCCGCCACAGTCGCCACCTGCATACAGCAGTTGGCGCCGGTTTCCGGATTGAGAAACAAGCCTTCCAAGAAATAAACGAGGCTCAACTTTTCAACATGAGAAAATAGGGTCAAGACACAGAGCTCATCCGTGGGTCCTACGCTCGTCACCTATGCTTGAAGGTGGTGACGAACTACGGATTTGAGCCTCGACCCCCCAAAATTGACGTTTCTTAAAACGCGGGCGCTAACTGCTGTGCTCGTATGTACCAAACACCATCACGCGAAGGGTTAAACGCCGGGGATTCGCGACCGTGTAATGGCGAATTTTGGCATGATCGTAAGATGCGGGCGCTTCCTCGTAGACTGTCGCATTCCACTCCCATGCCAGGGTGGGGAGAGTACGGGGTTTCGATTCACAGAGAGGCGGTTTGGGGGAGGGCAAAGGAGAGAGGGGGTAGGTGTCGCTCTTTCTCATGCGCTTATCCGATACTGCGATTTTTCGTTGGAATGAGCGCGACTTGGTATGTGGATGGGTGAAGATCGGGCGCAACGGTTCAACGAACCCGTAACAAAGAGCGCCAGAGCACGCCTCCATGCGGAGCAAATGAACAGGCGGAAGGTGTAGTGAGGTGAGGGACGGTTCCAGAGAAGAGGGACGCACCCGCAACACGGAGGTCTTTCACGTGAAAACTATCAAACACATACTTGTACTGGTGAACGACCCACGAAACAGCTCGCAACAGTACGGTATGTGTGTGTGTGTGTGTCAACATTGAAAGCATCGTCCGCGCTAACCGTGGTATGCATTTGTTCGTGCTTGTGCGCGTGGTCGTCAAGTTTCCCCAATCGCCGTGAAAGACTGCTTCAGCCAGTCAACCGTACGCAGTACCCAAGTAGCCTTGTTCGGCGGAGAGCTAAGTCTTCTCACCTCCTCCTTCTTCTTTGCGGCAGCTGCCTCCGCGGCGGACGGTGCCGGCGGCGCGGGCGGCGGCGGGGCCACCGGTGCCGGCCACATGAGCTGGACACGGACCGAAAAGCAAAAGGAAGCGAGGGTGGAACAGAGATAATTGAAAAACGATTAACAAAAATCATTGTTTTCACGGTACGTATCGCGTCCAAGTGGTCAGAATAGTACGGACAGAGTGAGGTACTGCATAGAGGGATCGGAATGATTTACAAGACACGACAACAGTCCAACCTACACGACAGATTCCCTGCGCTGCCCGGAGCCCGTTGACGAGAAAAACGCGTGTTCGCGTCTTCTTTTCTCGCTAGAAGGCTCAAGTCCTGTCGTTTTGGTCACCGGGGTTATAGCGCGGTCGACGCGACCCAAAGACACACATACACACAAGCCCCACCCTCCGCCCTCTCTCGCAAAACAAAATAAGCCAAGTCTCCAGTCGGTTTCAGTCCACTTACTGAAAATGCTTCACCACATCCCTTTCGACTGAGGTTATATCTCGAACGGGTAGTCTTTCTGTGAGGTTATGTTTACTTTCTAAAAAGGCGTCTTCTCGTCACCGCTGAACCCCTCCTCCCCCGGCCGCTACGTTGTGCATTCTCGTCACCGCTGAGCCCCCCCCCCCCAAACGCTGTGCAAACCCACCTTGCCCTCCTCCACGACGAGCATGCCCCGCGACACGGGGTCCTCGTGATCGATGTACCAGTACCCCTTATCCTTGGTCGTCTGGGGCCCGGTGGCTGAAACGTGGGGGGGGGGGGGGGGAAAAAAACAACCCACCGGGGGAACCCCCTTTCCTCATGGCCCCCGAAGGGGGGGGTTGGGGGGAAAGAAAACCAAGGAAAAAACCTGGGTTTTAGGGAACCCAAAAAAAGGGTGAGGCCCCCC